AGGAGGGGAGGGAACCAAAACCCCAGCCCACCTCGCCTCACCTGCCACCTCCTCTCTTCTTGCTCCCCTGTGTCCCCTCCTGCACAGGCCCCCGAGGGGAGTGTGCAGCCCGGAGGAGAGGAGACCCTGGGAGGGGGGGCACGCATCCGCCAGAAAGGAAGGAGGAGGGAAGACTGAAGGGAAGACGGGGAAGGAAGGCAGGGGCACGCATCCGCCAGAAAGGAAGGAGGAGGGAGGGAAGGAGGGAAGACCGAAGGGAAGATGGGGAAGGAAGGAAGGAAGGCGCAGAGGATGGAGCAAAGGAAGGAAAAAGGAAAGGAAGGAAGGAAGGAAGGGAGACCGGCAAGCAAGACAGGAAAGACAGAAGCAAGAAGAGAAGGAAGAAGGAGTGCTCCCCTGCTCAAAGAAGTAAGCCCCCGGGGAAGGGGAAGAGAGACCCCCACACAAACCCGGCCGGGCCATGTCTGGGGAGCCAGAAAGGGGAGCTGGGGATGCACCCCTTCCCACCACCCCTCTTTGCCCAGAGGCGTCAGTGAGAGAGAGCGAGAGCGAGAGAGAGAGCGCTGAGGTGGAGGTTTGCGAAGCTGGCTTCCCCGTGAGCTTCGCAACCCCCCGGCGATGAGCTGTGCTTCGGGGCTCTCTCTCTCCATCTCTCTCCACCCCTCTTAACACAGCTGATCGGCGGGTCCTTTGGGATGATCGTGGGGAAGCCCTTCCCCACGATCATCACAAAGCGATTTTTGGCCATCTAAAACATCGCAATGCGGACTCATCGTTAAATGGGGCGCTCATTAAGCGAGACACCACTGTATTTATCTTGACCAGCTTATCTCTATTATTATTTCTTCTCACTATCTTCCTATCTCTCTCTCCTTCTTTTTGCTTCTGTCTATACCTATTCTATTTCTCCCTGCCACACCTTCTTATATCTACTGACTCCGCCCCTCCACTCCTCTCATAGGGTCATGCAAATAAGAACCAGACTGTGAGTGACAGGAGTGACGTGGGGTGGCCGTCACAATAGCTATCTACATTTATGCTGTAGTCCAGCCTTTTGCTCTTGATGTTGTTATGTGCTGTTCAAGTTGGAACCAACTTGTAGCATCCCTAACACAGTTGTAAAGGTGAGATATTTAAGGAGTAGTTTTACCAATTCCACTCCCTCAATCAGTTTCCATGGCTGAGTGGGGATTCAAACCCTGTTCTCAATCACTTTATCCACTATGGTACACTGGGAATCTCTTTTGTACCTCAGTATTCTACAAATATATTTTACACATTCAAAGTTGAGTTCATCTTCCATTTTTGCAAAGGTGCACATGCAGAGCTCTCTCTTACAACATGAGCTTTATTTCCTTTAATGTTTGCAGTTGTAAAGCTTGCATAGCTCAGTGGGTTGGAGTACCAGGGTCAAGCGTTTGAATCCTCGTTGTGCCTCCTGGGAGAGGGGCTAGCCAATATTACCTTGAGTGTGTGTGGCTGATGAGGTTCCATGCTCTGCCACCTGTGCAACCTTGGGCAAACTGCACAGTCCCAGACCACCACCAGAAGGGAATAGTAAAAGCGTTCTGGGTACGTTAAATAGAAAGCCTTAGGAAGGATCACCATAAGTTGGAATTGATTTGAGAATGCATAATTACATCAACATCAGTAGGATATTGGACCTGAAGCTGTATACACAGGTGATGGGTATTCTGGACTAGGCAGTTTGCCATGGTGTACGCACAATATAGTAATGTATCTGTGTCTGCTCTGGTATTTGCAGATGCACAGAGTCAGTTGCATAATGTGAAGCAGCAGATTGATGATATCCGTGGCAATCTTTCCCTTCTGGACGCAATGAAGAACCTCTCTGAGTTCACAAATGATCTTGTTAAGGCGGCGAGTAGCTTTGAGCCGGATGTTGTCACCTACGATAACTACAGGTAGGAGGCAAAGTCTGATTAGAGCTGTTGTAGGTGCAGAATCCCGTGGTTTAAATCAGGCTATGGTAAACTCAGAGTGCAGTACCTTTGGCTTGTCTAGGGTCAGGTGAATCAGATGTTCTCCATCACTTTAATAGGCAGTCACTGGAAGGTTGTAAAATCTTACAGTGTGAACATGTGTGAGAACTGTACTATAGGAGAAATGCTGAAGCATTTTTGGGGGCTTCTGATGTTTCATGTTATGCTGATATTTTCTCATGGAATTTTTTAATGGGATACCACTTCTACACTGCAGATGTATATAATTATTTTATTCCTTCTAATTTGTTTAATTTGTCTGATTTGTTGAATTGATGCAGATAGTATTTATTCCTCCTCCTCTGCTTCATCATGCATCTGCCCTCAACTCTAGCTCACCATTAATACGCTGAATCAGGGCTTGAATGGAATCATGTGTTTTTTTATTGCTTCTTTTTTTGGTCAGCATTTTGATTGTGGATCACACCCGTGCCAACATAGCATGTTTCTGCTGATACAGGTTTTAGCAGATATTTGGCCTGTTATCCAGTTAGAAAGGCTTTGATCTTTCTGCTTCTCAGCTGTTGCATTCCATTGCCTTAACACACCTAAATGGTCTTGTTTCTCTCACTCCAGGTGGATTGTTGGTGTTGTGCTCTGCTGTCTGGTGCTTTTGATAACTGTTCTCAATGTGTTAGGCCTTTTGTGCGGAGCTCTTGGGCTGGACCCCCAGGAGCTGCCTACCAGGCGGAGCTGCCTCTCCAACTGTGGTGGACTCTTCCTTATGGCGTAAGAGACATTGCATCCCTTCTTCTCATCTGAGGGTGGTGGAACGTAACCTAAAAGTACCCTTTGCATTGTTTCCAATGATGGTCAAAAAGATAAGAGTTTGCCAGGCTGACTTTTAGTCCTGGGAATATGGATATGGCTGGGAGCAGGTTTTTCATCTTTCTGTATAATACTGGTTATTGGATTTCCTAGCAGTATGGGGATTATGCTGCATGGAATCTATGCTGTATGGTTAGGCTATGCTCTTGTTAAGAAAGGTAGGGTGAGTCGATCTATGAGCACCCACAAATTCTCTGTGGAACTAGTGGTGGTGAAGTGCTATAGATTCATGCCTTCTAATTGCATTGGAATAGTGACTTCCACACTCTGTCTCACTGATATTTAGTTGCTTCACACATTTATTTGCTGGGCTGCCTGTGTCAAAGTTTGCTGTCATGAAGGTGACTGTTGACATGGAGAAGCACATAACGATTCTCATAGGTCTTGTTCACTACCAAGCTTCCAATGGAAATCCAGATCTCTGATAATATCTTATCTTCCTTTACAGGAGTGTTGGCTTCAGTTTCCTCTTTGCCTGGCTGCTGATGCTCCTAGTTCTGCTAACATTTTTAATAGGGGGGAATGCATATACGCTGGTGTGCCGGCCCTGGAACAATGGGCATCTCCTTGAGGTAAGTCCTTGGGGCTACTATTGTACATGTAGATGAGTGGGACGGGGTAGTAATGTGAATGTCATGTATAGGCCGAGTCCTTATGTTCTTAAATCTCAGGCAGAATCCATGTTGCACAGTTCCCTCTCCCGTTCTGTCAATTGTTTTATTTTGGCTTCCAGAGTGCTAAAGGCCTAAGATAGGTAAATGTTCTACCTTCTGGAGAAGAAATCACAACAAGGGAAGCCATGACATATATTGTTTTGAATATGTGGACAAAAAATTTCATCCATTGCTGTTTATCTCCTTCTAGTTCCTGAGCACGCCAGGATTGTTCCCTGAATTAAACCTGACTCGTCTCCTACAGCTGAAAAGTTCTGATGTGACCCTGTCCAGCTTGTACATGTGAGTGCCAGGTTGGCTGGCTGGTTTTGTGCTTGACACCTAGCCTGCTGTGACTTTGGTTCCGAGTCTCTTCAGTAGACACCATTTTCTAAAACTGCATCGCTTGTCTGTATGCCCATTGACCCCAAATGGAAAGCCAGACTCCATGACTGCAGAGTATGGTTAATGTGGCAGTGCTGTTCTTCTGTTGATGACTGGCATTGTGTAATCCAGCGGTGGGCAACTTTCAGAGAGCCAATTCCAAACCACCACCACCCCATACACCCGAGACCCCGAGTTTTGCCTCCAAAAGCCTAATATCTTCAAAAAGTCCTAACTTGAAATGGGCACAAACTGGAAGCGCCTGCCGGAAGGAGGAGGCTCGGAACTGTGGAACTCCTTTTGGATCAACGAACAAACTGGCATGAACCATCAAACAGGCGGTTTGTGCCCATCTCTAGTCCTGACCTAAAACAGGCTGTGGAGGTTATGTGGCAAGATTGCCAATCATGCCTCCTAAACAGAGCCCCTTTGGGGAAAATACGAAGATCAACAACAATTATTTTTATTTCTGGTGTTGGGGGGATGCAGGTGTGTGTGATTGGGTGTTTCAGAGTAGAGCTGGAACTGAATGTGGCCTGAAGGCAGTACTTTGCCCACCACGTAACTCTGGGACAGTCGAACAAGCTTACCTGTTTTTATTTTTTGTAGGGACTGTGAGAACAATGCCCCCTTGTGGAGTACCCTTCATCTGGACGACATGGTCTCTCTAGATGAATTTCTCAACATCAGCAAGGTCAGTGGTGGGTGCCTTTAATCTACCAGAAGACAAAGCAAATGACCAGCTGAACTAATGTCTTCAAATAACAGCTCCAGGTGTTTAGTGGGAACTGGAGTAAGGTGTTTCTAGATATCCTCCAGTCCCAGAAAACATATTGGAGCAAGGGTGGGTCTAAATTGTTATGTACTCTGACCTACACTCCTTGTTTTTTCTGTTTCCTTGCAGTACACAAGTGATATTGATGCAACCTTGAATAAAATAAATATCAGTGTGGACTCTACTGCCCTCCTAAGTGACAAACAGAAACATCTCATCCAAAACCTGAGCAAAACGGATGGGCCAATGCATATGGACTTTGCTAGCATTCTGGAACAGGTGAGATGAGAAATAAAGAAAAGATTAACTTATTTATTTATTTATTTTAAATATTTTTACCCTGCCTTCCTCCCTAAGAGAACTCAAGACAGCTTACATCATTAAAAGGGCAATATTCAGAAGCTAAAACAGTAAGCATATACATATTTAAAAAGAATTAAACAGATACTATATTAAAACTGTTAAATAAAAGCAATACTAAAAATACATTTAAAAGCAACAGAGCACAATAATCCATTCAAAACCCCTTCTCAGACAGCTAGGAGTATGTCAGCTTGAAAACAAAGATTAACTGATAGTGGAAGGCTTGTTCAGTTTATGCTGTTTTGGCTACTTATTGGTGGCTGCCTAGACCAGTCAGGAGGAATGATACTGCCTGGAAAGGTTCTGGTGTAACATCCAAACCCCTGGATTCCTGAGTAACCAAAGCAGGAAAAGAGTTGCCCTTCAGTGCCCAGGGAAGTACCTGAGATGTGTACCTTTAGGGTTGTTACAGACAAATATATACATATACTTATAGCAGAATTTTGAAGTAACTGGCTACTTCTTGGTGATATAACAAATACAGTAGTTATAAAGCAACATAAATTACTTTAGCAAGTAGTTACAAAGCTACTTTTTAGGCTTGCATAACATTTCACTTTCAGACGTTACTCTTTCAGTACATGTTAATTTTAGAGATTTGGGCAGACATTTTTTCAGGTTTTATACCATTCTTTTTTGAGTTAAAGGAAGGGTTTAAAAATATTTTTATAAATATTTGCAATCTACAATATTGTTATTGTCCACTAGAGAGAAACAGAAATTAATTCCCCATTTTGGGAATTGGCACAGTGATAATTTGGCTGCCTAGAAGTAATCAGTAATGCAAGGATTTTCCTTTTAAATAAATGCTCCAAACTCTGATTTGTTGTTTCTTGTCTATATCCAATAGTTTAGACCTAAATAGAGGGAGGATTTCTGTGACATTTCAGATTTTCTTTTCAACCTACATTTATTCATATATATTTTTCTGCAACCTGTGTTTGAACTTATGGATGGGTTTAAACTTGTTTATGAGTACTCTGGTGAGAAAGGACATTTTATTCATAAAAAATATAAGTAAAATGCAGAAAAAATATGACAAGTTATATAAATCCTCACCCTAACTCTAAAAAACCTATGACATCTTTTTGCTATAGTTGTAGTTTAACTTAAATTACTATAGTTGTAGTTTAAAAATCATAATAGTAATCATAATCATAGACACTGCAATTCCAAGGGATGTCAGAGTTGAATACAGAGAACTGGACAAATTAACAAAATACAGTGACCTGGCAATAGAAATAACTTGCTTGTGGATGAAACACATTTCAGTGGTTCCCACAGTCATCGGGCATTGGGAACCATGCCACAGAATTTTATAAAATATTATAATCAACTGTAGATTTCTGAAATAACACTATAAGAACTGCTAAAAAAAAGAGGCAATATTAGGAACAACAAACATACTTCACCAATATTTAACTAATACTTAGGTTTTTGCTTAAAAACGTCTATCTGTTCTATATTAGCAGTCAAAGACTGTGTCTTGGATTTTTGAATAACAATAGCAACAACAATAGTGTGCCGTCAAGTCAATTCAAACTTATGGTGACCCTTTCCAGGGTTTCTGTGTCCACTCAGAAGTGGTTTACCCTTCTGTTCTTCTGGGGAGGGGTGGCACTCTGGGACTGTGCAGCTTGCCCAAGGCCATGCAGGCTGGCTGTACTTCATAGCAGGCACAGTAAGGAATCAAATTTCCAACCTCTAGCTCTGTAACCAGATACCTAACTCATCGCCCTATTCAACCAGCTAAGGCACTTTAATAATCAGTATAAATATATCAGTAGAATAGAATGGTATGTTTTATGTAGATAACTGCAATAAAATGGCAATTAGAAAGTCAGTAGCAGACAGCATATTCCAATAGAGCAATGTATATATATTGGAAATTCATGTAAATGGGACAAGCTTGCCTGCTGCTTAATGTCAATAATGAAGATGCCAAGTGGATTACTGTTGGGAGAGAGTTTGATAGTTGGAGCATAATAACTGAAAAACCCTCTCAGGGTAATCACTTGCCCAGTTTTTGTAGGTGAGGCCATCCAAAAAAGGGGCCTTTAATTACTATTTCATAAATCAATGGAAGGCAGAATGAAGAGGTTTTTGTCATCTCACAGATGGAATGAGAAGCAAAAATGATGACTGTGAGATTTTAAAAAAAATGAATTGACTTAATGTGGGTAAAATATTCCAGGAAGGATATCAAACTCCAACCCTAAACCTGACTCATGTCAATTCTTTTAATTTTCTTTAAGGACCTGACCTCTGTTTTCTCTGTCTTCTTCTCATGCAGTTAAACAAGAACATGACTGGACAAGACCTGTCTGCTTTGGCTAATCAACTGGACGCTCTGGCAGGAGAACCAGTGAGTGGTGCCTGGGCATAGTATCCTCTTCCTCTTTTAGTAATCGTTTCTCCCATCCCCACTTCTAAGAGGGGCCCTACAGGTGCCTTTAGGGATCCCCCTCAGAGAGTAAGCTCCCAAAGAACCTGGGAGTTTGCGTACCTAGCTGCTTCCCAGATGTTCATATGCTTTCTGAATAGGCAGTCATTGCATCCCACATTGCCTCCTGGAAATGTACCAACCAAACTGGATTCGCAACAAGTGTAAGAGAGGCATAGCAGAGAGTTTTGGGTGGTGGTTGGGATGGTGATCATCATCTACATAATGGACATACCCTACAGAGGATTTTTTAAAAACCTAGAGATGACAGTTGATGGACAGTACACCAGGAGTCTACAGAGTGTGCCCACTCTGTAGGTTTACATATGTGTGACAGCCAGAAAGTGCATGATGGGGGTAGGTTGGAGGATGACAGAGCAGCAAACAACCCATCAGTATGTTTTGACATGGTGATGATATACAAACTTTTACAGAAAGATGAAAACCGTACTGAGCTGCAGCAGCAGGCTGATGAGCTGAGAGCAATCCAGAGATATATAAATGCCAATTTTATTCCAGAGATTGTGAGTACTGCTTCCCTCCACCATCTTTATCTATTTTGACAACATTTGGTTCTGTTCTGAATCAGGTATCTGTGCAGAGGTTTATCCCTTGTCTCTGCATGTGTGTGTAACTCCGTGCATCCCAGTTCTGGTGGAATGTGTAATACTCTAGGGCAGTGATGGCGAACCTATGGCACACGTGCCACAGTTGGCGCACAGAGCCGTTGTATGGCACGCATGCCACAGCTGGCGCACAGGGCCGTTGCGAGCCATAAGTTACCGGATCGCTACTCCACTCTCCCCCAATAGCCAAACCTGAGAAGGCAGCTGTAGCCATGGTGCTGGCGCCCCAACAGGCGGCGAGCCAGGATCCGGAGCAGCTAGTGCTGGTGGCGGATCCAGAGTGGGGTCTCAGGGCACCTCCATGGCTGGGATTCCCCCTTCCGCCACCACTTCTGGTTCTATCACCGCCACACCTGCCACATGCTGTCCCCCCCATTCCCCCTTCCGCCACCACTTCTGGTTCCATTTCCATTTCCTGCTACATGCTGTCCCTCCCCCGCCCCAATTTGGGCAGTCGGGTCCAAAAAGGTTCACCGTCACTGCTCTAGGGAACTGTGGGAGAGGCGAGAGAGGAGGTTCTGAGGATAATTTGAGGAAGGAAATGAGGCAGAGAGAGAAAATGGTCCTTATAAGTACTGAGAGAAGAGGGTGGAAGGAGCATAATCATCATTCTGCCTTGTCCTAGCGATCAGCCACCTTGAGTCCTTTTAAGGAGCAAGGTGGGGTAAAAATCAATCAATCACCCAGTCAATCAGGCAGCAGCTGTTTCACCATCAAGTGTCACTGATTGAGTCCTGCAGCAATCTCTGGAGCTCAGATTTCATAGACAAAAACAATTATATAGTTTACAAATGTGGATGTTAAGAACTGTTAAGAAATAATTCCAGTTATAGATCATATAATTGTTGGACTACATTCCATCGCTTTTATTCTTTAGAGATTTACATTAAATGGTGTTTTTTTAAATATTCCCTTTCCTTCCTGCTGCATTTTCCTCTCCTTGTTAAATATATATTTTGTTTTTGTTTTTATATCCCCATGATGTGGCTTGCTGTTCATCTCTCCTAGTTCTCTTTTAAGGAATAGAGGAGGGTTTCAGTATTTTAATTTCTCTTCTGCTACTCTATAAGTCAAGGTCCCATCCTATCATCCACAGCACAGAGTTGTTGGTTGGGGAAGTGGGGTTGTGTATGTCTCTATGTCTGAATGTGGGATAGTATCCCATTTTACCTTCTCCCAAGTCATCCCATCCAGTTCTCTAGGAGGAATCCTTCTAATGGGTTTTCTGTGTGCCTACAGCAAAACCTGAACAGCAGCATCCGGAGTTTACAGAATTCTATGCCGCGGATTCCGGTAAGCAAGTCAGGTTTGGGTGAAGGATAAATGTTAAGAGATGGGGTGTTGATTCCACAGCTCCTAGAAACTTCATTAAAGGGCATGCTGCTGGATATTTGCAGGGTAGAGAACTACCATTAGCTGATTTCAGAGGAAAAGCAGGAGTATGTGAATGCACATTAGCAGGTGCCAGTTGGAAACTGCAGAGACTTCTTTTCACATTGGCCCTGGAGAGGTGTGTGTTTTGTGGTGTTCAGGAAAAATAAGAAAGATTGACTGGGTTGGTGGCATGGATGGGGTTGTCAGGCTAAAAGCTGGCCATGGAACAAAATGGGAGTTCCAGCTTGGGAGTTCGTATGATGCTAGATAACTTTACATATTTACTTATTTAAAATATTTATAAGCTTCAGACCCTGAAGTCTTTTCATATTTTATGTTCCTGGAGCATGGCAAAGAGTCTGTCTGGGTCTTATGTTGATGTGCCAGTGCTGCTTTCTTATTCACATTGGTATATGTCAAGTAAATAGTATGAGGTGTTCAGCTGCTTAAGTCGGCATGGATATGTGGTGATATGTGGGGAAGCCAGTGCCTGAGAAGGGCTCTGTCAGTAAGTGAACCTGACAGTGCTGTCATCCCTCCAGGAGCTGGCAAAATCCACACTGTTGCAAATAGAGGAAGCACAAACGTTTATGATGAAGAAGACAGAGGAAGTGGTCAAAAATGTAAGCCCTCTTATCTTTAACTCTCTTCCCTGGTACGTGTGGGGGGTGGGGAGTGCACACTGTGAGTAGCTTGGATTTGCATCCCTTTTATTCAATACAGTACTGAGAACAATCCTCAGCATTTTTCCAGGGCCATAATTAAATGCATGAGCTGAAATTCTGGAAATGGGGAGAAAGTAGAAAGAAAGAGAATCGGAAGCTTGTTAAAATGCAAGGAATTCTGTTCTTGAGTGGGGTGAAAATCACACATAGATACTGTAAGCCTTACTTTTGCCAAGTTTGCCTATCATTTTCATTCCTTTTCCTTGACATACAGACAACCTGTATGTGCTAACTGGAGGTTTTGGATAAGCCAGAATAGCAGTGAGTTTATTTTTGTTGAGTCCTGATTAAGAAAGAAAGCCACTGATGCTTTGAAGGTCATGGATGCATAGAGGATTGACAAGCATGCAACATGATACAACACAGCAACAAGAAATACAACAGAAACCCTCACACTCTGGAGAGCCCGCATGAGCCCAAACAGTGCAACCAAAGGATCTCCCTCTATAGAAACTGGCAGGGAAAATCGAAGAAACTGCTACCTGTTAAGCGGCACAAATTCCTTCTCTGACCAGATCATTGTATTATCACCTTGATAAGATAGAGTGCTCTTAGAACAACAGGCTTATATGTTCAGGATTTGATGCTTGGTTTCTTTTGATGCTCGTGGCACCCACTAAGCTGGTGACACAGTAGCCTTGAAATAATGCATATGTTTTATACAGCCGATTTTCCATCCAGTATAGATTGGAAAGGGATATCTTATCCTCTTATTCTATTTCCTTTTCTACTTATATGCAGGAGACTTCAACTTTTGTGCACTCTATACTGGACTTATTTACGTCATATCTGGACTGGGCCAAGGCCAAGGTAAGTAACAGCGTTGGATTTATTGGATGTATTGAGTGGACTTAATAATCCTTCATGATGGCAAGGTGGGATTCTGCTTGTCCTCACTCACACACTTATCTAGTCAGATCTGAATTCACAGAGAGGCTGTGTACATATTTGCGGCTGTGCATGCCTAAACCAATTAATTGTTAATTAATTGATGGTAAAAGGAAATGGTAAAACACTTCAGAGTATAAATAACCTTAGAACTGCTGGATAGTTCAGTAGTTTACATCCCTGGCTATGGAGCCAGAGGTTGGGAGTTTGATTCCACAGTGGGCCTTCCTGACAAAGGCTGGACTCGATGATTCCACCTCTGCAGTTCTAAGGTTATTGATTCTCTACCTGGAAAACCCTGAAAAGGGCCACCCTAAGTCAGAATTGACTTGACGACATATGAATATAACTATAATAGCTATAAACTGCATGGCCGGGGTGACAGTCTTACAATGATACGCAAATAGCTTTAGATGCACACATAAACACAATGAGGTTGGCCTTTTAAAAAAATGTACTGCATTCTGTTTTTTCTGTTCAATGCACAAAGGCAGGTGTTATTAAGCTCACAAAGCTGCAATGATTTGAGTCATGTTGATAGAGGGTTTGTTCAACTAGGTTAGCACTTATGAAAAGAAGATGGTGAGGTTGGTATTATCCCAGGAGTGGGTATAGTTTTTCCTTTGGTAGCCTTGATGTTTCTTTGTTAACAGATAAAAGAAGAAGTGGGTCGTTGTAAGCCTGCAGCCTGGATAGTGGATAACTTGAATACCGTTTTCTGCAGCTACTTTGTTGATTCTTTGGTAAGGAAATAAAACAGAAGACTGATCAGAGAACAGTATTAATTTGAATCAGGATGCAGGACTTACAGGTGCCATTCCAATAGCATGGATAAGGGTCAGCAGGGGGACGATCAAAAAATTGAATGCTGGTATTCCTGGCTTGGAGTGTGGGAATATATTGTAGTTATCTTAGGTAATGATAATTATGGGGTTGGGGTGGCTCAAGAGACATCTCTGTATGTGACAGCTATACCTCTTCAATGGGCGGGATAGCTGGGTGTATGTAAAGAAGTGGGACTATAGGGCAGAGTTGGGAGCATGGATGGGAAAGGCACAAGCAGGGACTGGATGGGGAAACATCACCCACTACCATGTCTTCTCTCACGGACTTCAAGCAGTGAAGGAAGAAGCTGTTGTTGGACTGTTGAAGAACCTTTCTTTCTAATACTGGCAGCTTCTTTTCTTTTCTCCCCTTCTAGAACGCTTTCTGGTTCAGTCTGGGTTGGTGCACTGCCTTTCTACTTCCAAGCATCATTTTGGCTGTGCGGCTTGCCAGGTTTTATCGCAGAATGTTTGCAGATGACCTCTACGAGTAAGGATCATGTTGTCAGTCATTTCTCTGCTTACAGCCACAGACTAGAATTTTTTCTTCTCCCATTTGCCTGATACTGTCCATACTTTGGACATGCCTTAAAGATGACAGCTTTAAACCCCATAGCCTCATTATCTAGAAAATAGAAGCATGATCCAGCTGCTGGGCTGTTGCCATGTCACAGTTGCGAAATCCACAGACACCCCTTGCAAAAACAAACAAACAAAAAAAAAAACAAAAAAAACCTGCGTTGAAGATTCTGTTGTAAAGTTGGGTGCTCCAGTATCTCATAAGGAAGTGCTATCTGCCTTCTAAAGAAAGTCTGATCTCATTGCTATTAATAGCAGGGTACTGCCATCATTCCTAATGGATACAGGTAAACTCTGTTTCAGTGAAAATTGCATTCATGGTAGTTTTGCTTCCACTCTGTTTATGTCATTTATATTGTGCTGGATAATTGGAAAACTTTCTGGTGTTACTGCTCAGTTTCCCTGTGCCCTCTCTGTGATAGCAGTCAGAGACCAAAACTGTGCATGTACCAATATTTACTAAATAAAGTAGGGATGGAGAGCCTATGCCCTGCAGATACTGTTGGACTCTAACTCCCATCAGACTTAGCCAGCACAACCAAGGATAAAGGATGATGGAAGTTTCAGACCAACATCTGAAAGTTCACCTGTTTCTCCATCCCTGATTTAAGGGACCATGCTAGCCAATGCCCTTGTATTGTGTGACCATGATTTCACTCTATATCAAGGACCTTCGGCCCTCCAGATATTTTGGACTAAAACTCCATATTCCCTGACCATTGGATGGAACTGACGGATGTTGTAGGACATAACATCAGGAGGGCCAAATGTCCTCTGCCCCCCCAAACCACCCCTTGCGTCTTTTAGTTGTTCAGCAGCCGCCCAAGATTAGTCCTGATCTTTGGTCTGCTATAAGCAATTGCATTGCTGAAGTAGTTTTCCTCTTTCCTTTCCTTGCTGGATTGGGGATGAGGGCTTGGCCTGTTTCCTGGCCTGCCTTGGAGGGAACTTTTATGTCAGAACAGTAATACATATCCCACCAGTACTCTTTTTTTCTCGTTTTAGGGATGATGATACAGAAACCATGGAATTGTAAGTATTTTTTCCATATCTCCTGTCTAATCACTGCTACATAGTACTGGTGTTCAGGCAGAAGTCTGTACTCTACTAAGGGACTGGGAGCTGTGGGAAGTAGAGAACTGCCAATAAAAAGTAGCAAGCTTCTTGCTCTAGGATTTGTAGCTATAATACAGTATATTATATTTAATACAGTGGTGCCCCGAAAGACGATGTTAATCCCGTTCCATTGAAATCGCTGTCTTGTGAAAACATTGTCTTGCGAAAAGCGTTTCCCCATTGGAATGCATCGAAATCCATTTAATGCGTTCCAATGGGGAAAATAGTCGTTGTCTTGCGAAAATCGCCCATAGGGAAGCCATTTTGCGAAGTGCAAATCAGCTGTTAAAATCATCGTCTTGTGAAGCATCGGTCCCGGAAAAAAAGTCTTGCGAAGCATGGACCAAAACATCGTCCAGTGAAAATCGCCCATAGGAAAGACTGTTTTGCAAAGCACTATAGCGATCGCAAAAACTCATTGTCATGCGGATTCGTCGTTTTGCGAGGTCATCGTCTAGCGGGGCACTACTGTACTCTGCAGGCCAGCCTTTATATTCTTTGCTGAGAGGTGAACTTTTTGTGCCTCCAACTGCAGAGAGCAGTGCAGGAGGAAGTGTCTTTGGAAAATGGACACAGAAGCTACAAAATCCTGTCCTGGTATAAACTGAAATTAAGAACCTGAGTTTCTGTAGGTGGGCTAGGAAGACCTTCATCCCTATTTTCGCTCCAGGGCATCAAGGTTAACCCACCTATGGAGATAAGAGCTTTCTGCTGCAAGAGTACCATTACAAATGTTGTCCTCTTTACGTTGTCCTCTTCTCCCATAATGTCTCACTTGACAAACTAGGACAAGGCCTAGAAAACTATTTCTGATTTACTTCCTTCTTCCCCTGTACAGATCAAGGCAAAGCATGTTCAAAATGCCCCGGGCAGAGCTGAGGAAGTAGCACGCTCTGCCAAACCTATCCGTCTCTGAGCAGCACTGACGATGACACATGAATGTCTGGAGAACTCCTTGATCTCTCTTGCCTCTTCTTTCTGGAGCACGAGGATTTCTGCACTGCAGCAGATTATTCCTTTCTAGGACCAAAATGCAAACAGCAGCCTTTTTCTTACCAAAGAAACAAGTCCTGACACCCAAAAGGGCAGGTCTGACTGCACTCCCAGTATTCAGTCTCACCCAAGTGTGAGCCACAGTCTTCTGACCTGTTGTAGAGATGAGGCTTGCAATCTCTGCATTATGCCCTTTCTGAAAAGTCATTATCTTGCCATTGGGACTGGGCTTCTTATGTAGCAGCTGGCTGATAAGATACATGGTTGAATGTAAGTGACTTAATTTGCAGAGCAAATTTGCTTGCTCCTCCTAATGGTGTTGACTGCAGTGCATACTCTTGTATTCACCGCATCTAGAAGAATTGAAAAGAGGCTTCTGTTTATTTTTATCTATGGGCATTGATTTGAGAGGTGTCTTCTGCCGTCTATCTCTAATGACTCTAGGATTTTGATTGGCAATGAGTGACACTGGCCGGGAATGATTGTGACAGTCTATAGCATTATGGGAAGTGTCATAGGACAGTTCTTCTTCAACCCGCAGGGATAACCAACTTTAGTCTTAGATGACTTATTTATTTCTTTGGTTCTTGAAATGTATCTAATGAGTGCTAATTGGAGTTGCTTAAAAATCTAAATAGTGCCTTATTATACGAGAGAAAGATTCCCATAGCCCTATATTCTTTGCAGAAATCTCGGAAACCAACATTTATTAGAATGCCAGTTTTCTGTCCACGACTTTTGAGCCTACTACTGAAAAGCAAGGGGCAAGTATAAACAACAACTGAAAACCAACTGTACAGTTTGATTAATCTTTGTGTCCAGAAAGCAAACATTTCTTAGGATATAGCTGGAGCACCTTTTTTCATGTTGCACTTTGTGCCTTTGCTGTCCTATTCTGGATGGACCTCTGTATTCTGAAATCATAGGTGCCTTTCCCCAAATAACCCTTCCTTCACAAACTTCAAAATTAGTTTGTTTTCAAAAATAATGTTGAATTTAGCATTGTGCAAACACTGTATTTTCCCTCTAAAATATTAGTGAATAGTAATATAATTAAAACTGGCTTGGACATCAGCATTAGAAATTGATAGGGTGCTGAAGCTAAATAATGCTATATGTAAAAGATGCAAGTAATAGAAGCATTGGCATTGCAGTAGTGCAACAGACTTCCACTTTAAGACCAGAATTTATGAGTTACAAGCTTTTAGCACAGGGGAGTGCAGCTTGCCACATGTTACTGGCTTCCAGCATCAGTGTAGAATGCTGGGAGTGTTACACTTTGCATACCCCTGTTCTGGCTAAAAACAAGCCAGAAGTAATCTCTAACAGTAGATGTAAGGTCCTCTGAGATTCACAGCACCTCCTCCTTCTGCAACAACTCTATATGGAGCAACATCACCCAAAATGCTGACTATGCATACTTTTAATTTTTTTTATCAGTGTATTGGATTTGATTAATGTACATAGGTCATAAAGTTCTTTAATATTATCTATTATTACAGTGATGTATTTTCCTAAATAGAAAAATACCCCATTCCTATTTCTAATAAATCAGATTTCCAGCAGAGTACACAAAGCATTGCTTCTTTATACTTGGGGTCCACGTCAGATGGAGATGTTTGGATGTGCACAGGGATCTTGTTGAATTTGGGGTAGTAATGTTGCATTGAGTTAGGATGTTAAGAGTGGTCACAACCCCGTTTACTAATTGGTTTTCAGATTATTCTTCAAAATTCAGTACTTGTGAAATCTATATAGTTCTTGCACGGAATCTCTCTGTCTGTCCCTGCATCAGTGGATTTGTTACAAAGAACTTACAGCACATATGCATTCTGTATAGTATTTATTGCTATACTCAGTAAGAGTAACAAAAATGTGGTTATGACAATATTTTCAGCACTTAATGTCTAGTCCCTGTGACATCGGTAATATGGAATAATCTGTCTTTCTTCTCTTAATGTTGTTTGTAGACTTTTAAGACATGCTGGTCCATTTAGACTATAAGTCATTAACTAGTCTTATATTAACATTTTGTTGACAACTTATTTAATACCTTTCCCCAGTGCCGGCCGTTTAACACTGTTATGTATCCCCCCGCAACACTGATTTATTGTACGTATATTTTTGAATCCATTCTTGAATCATACATGCTCTCGTACATGTAGCCTCATTTCCAAATTCAGAACAAACTGCTTGGCTAGCCTTTCTGTAGCAATCTTAATTCTTAATTCAGACTTCCCCAACCGAGTGCCCTCCCAGATGCTTTGCACTACAATGTCTGTCTTTCCTGGCCATGGGATATCCTAGCTGGGGCTGATGAGAGTTGTTGTGGGGCAGCTGCCTATGGGAGGCTGCCTCAGCACCTCAAAGGCAGAGAATCATATGCTGCTAGTGTGAAATCAGCAGAGGCTGAGAAATTTGTTAAATTAAAATTAAAAGCAGAGTAATTTTAACTACCTGAAGAGACTGCATTGTTATACAACTAAAGGACATAATTCTTGAATGTCCTGTAAGCATCTCAAGAACATAGTAGAGAAGTATGAAGCATTAAGACAGGAACCCAGGTGAACTGAAAATTCCATTATGGAAGACTGCTTGGTAGAGAAACACGTTTGAGAAGCAATGCAGCAAGATGTGCTACTGTTGTATTCAGAATCACTGAAGATCTGCTAACCTACTCTTTACAATCAGGTCTGCAAACAGGATAAGATGCGAAAGATTCATGTATATTGTAAAAAGCAATTCAGTACTTATGCAACCATAAGAAAAAAAAGGACTGAAACATCCATCACTGGGATGTCACCAAAAGTTACCTCCAAGTGATCCGCAACTCACTTCTAGCTGTGTGAACCAGTGTGCAATGTGTGTGTGGGGGGGGAGTACATGCAAAAACTCACAACTAGATTACATAGAAAGCCATTCCACACAGCTGCCGCCAGTACTATCAGAAGTTAGTACTGCTTGGAATTTCCACTGTGAGAACATTGGTCTCTTTGGTCTACTGAGCATGCATCTGAGCATACCTACCTATCTACATGATTTCCCATGGAAAAGAGAAGGTGCTTGATTGTGCAATTTAAATTCATACTGGAGTTACGCTATTAACAAAATCATGGGATCAGCAGGCCAAAGTGAGGGAGGGACCCACACTCCACCTACTGGCGGCATCTTTGCATCTATGAAGAAAAAAGAATTTTCAGAGACTACAGTTCTCCATGGGAATGAATTTTTTTTGCCTTTTTATATAAATTCAATGCAAGTATAGTTATGTGTGGTTTTTGTAGGATTTAAGATATGTCAGAGATACTTAAAATTTAACGTGGACAGCAGCAGTTACATATTTTTGGTCTTTAGGAAATGAAGACTTCAAAATCTGGTATCCCTTCATTTGCATAAGAGGTTGCCCAGGAAATCTACTCATCAACAAAACTGGTCCAAGGGAAAATATAAATCACCTTATCTATCTGGTGAACCTTTTAAAAATAAACAGATTGCTTCTGCCCAAGTGTAAGGAGAAACTCTTACATCAGCAGGAAACAATTCTCTCACTAGATCTTTTGTGCACAAGTGACCCCAAAATACTGTATACAAAAATACATAAAGAGGACAGCAGAAAAACCTGATAAAGTCTTGCCGAAAGCATACATTTCTTAGTCTTTCAAACACAGCTATTAAAATACGATCTTGACATGTTTTGGCACTGAAATGATTCGTCTACCCCCCCCCCCCCATCCAGTGTATTCTGGTTTTCATACCTGGCTCTTTTTGAAATGGAGACAAAGAATATCTGATGTGAAAAAAAAGTAGTTATTTTGAAGCTCTATACTAATAAACATCATACACTGATGCTAGTGCAAAGACCCATCTCCTAAACAAATGCTTCTTGTTCTTTTGCCATTTGGAGTGACGTCCCAAAACTCCTTTCCTCATGTTAGGAAATGAAACCAAACTGCAGGCTAGTTAAGCCTACTGCCTTCATGTTCTTCCCCTGCCTTTTCATACAGTTCCATCAGAGACCTCCACTGGTTTCTGCTTAAGTGGGTGGTTTTAACCTTTTCTGTGTTGGAGATGACCCTGAAAGCACCTAGAGGTCAGATGATGACCCTGTAACTGCTTTCACAGAAATAGAGCAGCTGGCAGCACAACTCCTGTGTTGTGACTCAGTATCAGTAAACAAAGGTGCTTTGAATACCAGCAAAACAGCTTGCTTCCTGCACTTCCCCTTCCCAGCAATGATCTGTTTTCTTAGTGGAGGGACTTTTTCTAGGTCAGGATGCAATTTCCCTCTTGAAACTGTTCCCCATTAATAAGTGACACCCGGTCACAATCCAACAGCTCAGATAGAAAAAACATATGTAGCCGAGTGGTCATAAGGCATAAGCTAGGTGCTTCAAAACCAAGAACAAAATTATTTTAAGGCTGCCCATCATCTTTTAATACTGCATTCATGACATAGAAACAGCTTCAAAAACACCAGAAATGCATTAAAAACAAGATAAAGTATTTTGTCAAGGTTATTATTAAAAGTCTCCTATTTTTTCTGCCAAGCTATTATAAATAGTCAGGGCACTAACCATCCAAGACTTCACATGGAGAATTCCTTTTTCTCTTTCTCCCTTGCCCAGGAGGTCTGTTATAAAAGGTAACATAAGAAAATGTCCAGATCTTGTCAAAGCCACATTAATCTTTGTGAAGTGGGGGAGGGGAGGAGGGTTATGTATGAGGAACACTCCCATCTACAGCTCTGGCAAATAATTACATTCTCCAAGCTTTTAACCATAAAGGGCAAGAAGATTTACTCTTTAAACAATTATAAAAAATGGTTCCAGGTGAAGGAAACTTGGCAGTAGTCAGGGAATAAGCAGGGGACTTGTAAACAGTAGGAAGCACTGCAGATTTTTAAGTGTAACGTGAGTCCTACACTTCCACTTTCTTAACTGTTGGGTGTCTTTAAAAGGCAACTCATCTTTCACAGAAACACACTTCATGAGCCATCATGTCAAGTATGGCCACATCCTTTTACTCTATGTGGCTAGTACTTTGTTGCTAGTCTCAGCTAGAGCAGATTCACTGAACCAATGACTGAATATTAAGTCAACCCTTATGTACAGTCCATCTCATTGAATCAATGGGTCTGCTCTAGTTGGGAGTAGCTATAGGAAGCTGGCTTTTGTGACACGGCTAGTTTGGGCTGATGGTCCCAGTTGTCTGTGTGCTGTTAATTCATCCCCTTCTCTCCAAAAGGGTACCCCTGTAGCCAGAAAGAATGTTATATACAACGTACTGAGAACATCCAGATCACGAAAGTGCCACAAAAGACCTGGGCTCAGTACAAGCAGTTTGCTTGCAATTCAGACAACTTAATAACGAGTAATAGTATCAATCTTGTTTGACCAAAACCACTTTATGACTTTGTCTAAGTAACTCACACAACCCCTCTTACTGGCTGCAGTGCAATGACTGAAGCTATCATTTGATCTAAAATAACTGATGTATATGGTGGCTTACTTTTACTCAGCAACCTGTATGCCTTCTGTGTGAATGTCCCCTTTGTGCCATACAGTAGAATCTGTGCATTAAAAACAATAATTTGAGCTATTCTGTGAGGCTTAAAACCACACACCACCAATAAAAAAGAAAAAAATTATTTCCTTGTGAGTGCAAGCCTCCCATAGATGGAACAGGAGAAACTCAAGAATCTTACAGGGATAAAACATCTTGCTAGGTGTAGCTATGCACATAAAAGGGCTTCTTCTTCCTGAAAGTAGTTATTCATTCAGCAGAAGGGGAAATTGACAAGACACCATTGGAGACTGACTGTTGCCACCTTTCCTCTTAACTTTTCTAACTTTTTTTCAGATTAGTATTTGCTTAAACTGTAACACTGTAGGAGCCAAACTATAAAACACTGGGAAAGAGTTAGGTTCCCCTGTAAATAAACACACCATGGACTATTTCAGTAAATTGCTAAGGCCCCTCTCTTTACAATCTCTTCCAACTTTTAGAAAAACAACAGATAATGACACTACAGGGGACAAAGGTTGCATGTATATATCAGGCAGTAGAAATAGCTGGGACTTCCCCGGCTGCAGATAAATACTGCAAGCTTAACAATTTGTCATGCAGCTGAGGAGTGGGTCTCTGGCTAGAGGAACAGACATGCTCTCAAATCAGGGAGTTTCAAAAACTTCAGTTTTGGGAGGAAGTAAGGCTGGCCACTGAAACTTGACAATCCACAAGCTGGCTTGCTACCAGGAAAACAAAAAGCTCACATCTGAAGAATAGATTCCAGATCATAATAATGGGTGCTTGAGCACACAGCCCAACTCATCACAACAAGCCAATTACTCAATAAGCTCAAATGCGAACTTGACTGTCAAATGTTTACCAAATGCAAAGGTTTTCTTTCTTTCTTTCTCCAATCTACCAACATTATTCACAGAAGGATTGATATAGGTCAGCAATAGTTTTCAGGTAGCCTTGCAATGGTGTAGTTCCTATATGCAATTTTCTACTCTAGTTTAAGGCACCAGAAATGTCCAACCCCTGCTACAGATTCGGCATCTCTTCCAAATAAAACTATTGGCCATACAAGAATTGTTGGAATTTACCTCCCTCTTTGGCAAGGACAGCTTGCTGATGTAGGTTTCCAGGGAGGGGGGAAATATATAGCCTGCAGCTCCTGACTTTGTTTCTGGATGCCCTCTGGCCTATCTCCACCTCTGCACTTCACACTATCTCATGCAAAGTGCGCTTATGTATCGTTCTGAAAAAGGGTGAGTTCTTCTTGTGACTCTGCCTTTGGAACTACTTGGCGATGCCTAGGAGGGGTTGGTGGAGGAAAGGTAGGGCTCTGCAAGACAGTGGCATAAATTTCAGTCTGGTCAGTTGGGGATTGTGTTAGTCTGTGCAACAGTGGCCTGAGCAAACCAACAGTCAGCTGGGATGATCCCTGTGGAAGGAAGGGAGAGGGGTCAGATTCTGCTGGGGTTAAGTGTTGCTGAATAATGTTCAGGACATCAGAAGCTCTCAGATCTGCAGGACAGAGCTCCCACAATTTGTTCAGATAAGGGTCCAGTGCCCTGTGCTTGGAAAACTCTCCCAAGAGGATGACAAAAATTTCTTTATTCAGTAAAGGGCTGAGCCTTGAGAACTTTTCTGCTACCTCCATCACACGCTGCCATCTCTCATGCAGGATAAGAAGGTCCAGGGCCTGAAGGATGGCTTTGGGTCGCCGGCTGGAGAGCAGGAGCTCAATTTCCATTTCCACACCTGCCAGAGAGCATCTGCGTCTCCTTGGCAATACAGCCAGAGCTCTCTTGTATAGAGGCATGCCACCCTCTGGACCTTCCTTGTTGCTGTAAGTCCAAGAGGAACCCATATACTGTTGGGACAGTTCCACAAACTGAGGCAGCCATTTTGGCTTGAACTGGTGGAGAGAGAGACAGATAAGCTCAAACAGGGGGACCACCCCATTTATGGGCCCTTCCTCTTGCTTGCTCAGGCTGGTCACAGGTCCCCCAAGAATTTTCTTCCACACATCGGGTGTGGCCCTGGCTACTAGAATGCCATCACCATTCTGTTGCAGCTGCAAGTGATTTTGGATGGCCTTCCAGGATGCCTTCGGAAAGGAAGTGAAAATAGCATTCAGGTATGCCAGGTTTTCCCTGTTTAAATCCAAGTGCATAAGGCGGCTGAGTTCCTGCTCCACCAGTGCCTCCCCATAGCCCTCTGCTTCATTTTCTGAGGCCCAAACCACACAAGACTTGAGCTGCTCTAAGTTCTGATAGCTCTGCAATTCTAACTGCAGTGTGTCCAGCAGCTTAGCATAAGATTCTGGGAGGGCCCTGGATTTTTTCCCCTTGGGAGTGAGACTGTTACACAGAATGGAAGAGAGTGCAATTGGAGCCTGAAACATGTCCCCCTTCTTGAGTTTCTCCACAGTGAGCTGGGAGCTGCTCAGGCTCCGTCGCTGATAGTATTTGCAGGCCTCTTCAAACACCATCTCCACCAGGATGGGCTCAGGCTGGCTGTCCTTGGCAGTCACAGAGAGGTTAAGGCTGTAAATGCCGTCAGGGGCAAGAAGATGCACTTCCTCCTCCTCCTCCTCCTCTGCATGGAAGTCTAAAAATACCACTTCTCTTGTACCCAAGACTTTCTTTTCTACCAACTGCCTACTGTTCAGGTCCACAAGATGAAGAACCTCTCCCAACAAGCAGGCAAGGGTGTCCCCAAATACCTTCAGCTGCACCTGCTCTCTGGGGGCAAAAGTGCTTCCCCCAAAGTCGAAGACAGGTCTCCACGCTCCATTCGGTTGAACCAGTTCCACAGTGCCTGCTTTGGTAACCAAGAGGAGTCCTCCACAGCTAGACAGGGCACAGCTGTGAATGTCCAGCATGTCCATGGAGGCTAAGAGCCCCACACAGCCCAGCACCAGCTTCTTGAAGTCCACTTCGTTGCCTGCATGAGAGGCTTTAGTATAGAGACACCCTCTGGATGGAGCAGCAATGAGAATATCACCATTCTTGGGTTGCCAGATGGCAACAAACTTGGCTATGCCTGGGAAGGTACCTGGCGTTGGCACTAGAAAGACGCCAGAGGGTGAGGCCAGCACTTGGTAAAACGGGCTGTTGTGCAAGACAACCCTCAGGGGACTCAGGTGGGCTCCCTGCTCCCCAATCTGGAGGCCTCTGGTGCAGATACAGTACTGGAAGGCTCGTTTCTCTGAGGTCGGCTGGGCACCCAAGGGGGGCCTCTCTTCACACCATACTAGCTGGCCACCCCAGCTGCAGATGGAAACAATCCGGGCATGGGCGCCATGGCAGAGCTCCAGACTCTGCAGCATTTGCCACCCTACGGCAGGCATGAAGCGCCAGAGCTCAGCCCGGCCTTGCTCCCAGACGACGGTCAGCACCCACGGGGCCGCAGCGCAGGGGCTCTCCAGGAAAAGCAGCCCCACCACGGGCGGCTGAGGCGGCTGCCAGCTCCTCTCCAGGTCGCCTCCTCCATTCGCGCCCAGGCGCTGGAAGGCCACGACCCGAGCTTGCGCGGCCGGTTGGTTCCACAGCAGGAGCAGATGCTGCCTGTCGGGGCTGGCGAGGATGCGGCTGGGCGCCTCGGCTCCCGGGCGGCGCGGGTCCAGCAACTCCCGCAGGCAGCGGCCGCGGGCGAAGTCGCTCCAGTCCGAGACCTGCCGCAGCACCCCGGCTCGCTTCATCTCAGGGCGGCGGCCGGCCTCATGGAGGCGGAGGGGCGGCGGGAGACGAGGCTGCGCG